GGGCTTGCCAGGGTTGGTGGGACCCATGGCTTGCCCGGGCTCCTAGTTGCACGCTGGAGGGCTTCTGGGCTCGCAAGGGGGGCCTTTTGCCCGGTTTGCCCCAAGCGGTGGACATGCTCTTAATTCAAATGCTGAAGCAGCTCTAGCCTCTGAAACCAGGTGCTTTGTCCGAGCTTCTGGGAAATTTTAATGAAATTTAAAAATCATTATTATTGAGTCGAATGTTGAATGGGTGTTGAGTTTAATGTTGCAAAAATGGTCTTTAAACGAATGCAATTGCAAAAATAGACAACCATCATATGTTGCAGGCATGCAGTTAATTAAAAGTGAATTCTGCTGTAAATTGTTCAGCTCAGGGAAAATTAAGCAATAAAAATGGAAAAGATAATTGCAAAAGCATTTCATGGAAACTGGTGCAGAGAACTGCGAAGGCAAATGAAATTTGTAACTATATACTTCCATTAAAGTTTCCCAAAAGCTGAAGAATAAATAGTGCAAGAACTACTAGATAACAAGTTCCATGCCAAGTAAATACACAGAAACATCAGGCACTTCAGGCATAAGACGCTACTGCCCTAAAAATCGGCCAAAAAATGAACAAGAAAACGAAAATACATCAGCAAGATAGATAACAAGAAACGGAGGTTCACGCACATCAGGCATCACGCACATCAGGCACTTTCGGCAAATAACGTTACTGCACTACAAATCTGCAAGAAAAGGAAACAAGAAAAGTGCTGCGTTAATCAATTGTTAAGCATTAGAGTTGACATCACTTGTCATGAAAACTTTTCCCAGTACTTCTTCAGGAGTGCAAATCAAACTTCCTCTTCATGCTTACACAAATGAAAGCTAAATTGGAAAAGAAACTAATATACAAATGAAAACATTGGAAAAGGGACACAGACTTCACTACAGTAGCAGCAATCAGTCCAATGTCTAAAGTCATACCAAGTTGACTAAGACTAAGAGCACATAAAAGACCAGTCTAATCGTGTTTACATGAGAGCTGAGTCGATATTATTATAATTAAACTGTTTTTAACTTTTTGATATCCAAATTGAGTCTCCATGAGAGTTGTGTTGACTTTAGTCACAAGTTGTGTTCTAGCAACAGAAGCGAGAAAGACAATCAGCTAAAAGAAAGAACCCACAACAAGTCTGACATAAGGATTATCCCCCAGCAATTTAGTTACCAATCATGCTTTTAATGAACATAAAAACCTGGCAAACAAAGAATTGAAATGTTATGCTCTCAGCACTATAATCACATTACCTGTTCTTTCTCTTAGTAAGACTCTGCATCGCTCTTGTCGAGTAAGAGGAGGCTCTCTTTGTAAAAATGACCAGTACAATATTTATATTCAGAAATCCCAAGAAGTTTAAACTGTTTGCTCACAAGGTCTAGTGATACTAGTTCCTGTTGTGAAAAATGGACAAACACTTTCACTCACTCCCCTAATGATCTTGTTGTTGATGGACTTTGTGACACACACAATGATGGATGAATCACACACACACACACTTGAGACAACAACCAAGCACAAAGTGACACAAGAATTTATAGAGGTTCAGCAATTGCCTACATCCTCTTGGTGATCCCCTTGAGAAATTCACTTCATGAAAGAATAAGTTACAACTTTGGTTTTACACAGAAAAACCCCCTTAGAACTCTATTCTCTCCCCTAGCTCTCTTTTCTCTCACACCCTTGCTCAACACTTTGATGCACTTGTGAACACTCTCACAACCCTTGGTGTTTCCCCCCTTTTGTGTCTAGACTCTCATGACTGCAACACTTCCTCCCTTGATGATTAAAACACCCTTGATGGTATTACAATTACCCTCACCCTTTGTGAACTTAATCACCCCTTGGAGAATAAAGACCATCCCTTGATGAACTTAACCACACCTT